CACGATGGCTCCCAATATCGTCTTCCTCTAGTGAGTGATATCAAACTACTGCCCGCAATAGGTAGCCAGAGAGCCGGTTACTTAATGCTTAACTCAGCACTAAGTGACGTGACTTCCCGTGGGCACACCTTACCACGTGCTCTGAACATGCTACCTCATAGCCAGTGGAAAGTTACAGGGGGTGATGGTTATACAAGTCAAATGAAATTAACCCATTTATAAAAATACTTCTGCCTATAAGACAGGGGCTCGCTCAGTCACACCTTCCAAGCTCCGCGAGGAATAAACTAATCTCGCAGAAAAACCCTATACTGTACATACAGTATACCTAACCATGTTACATGCATATGTGTATAAACACTAAACTGGGGAAGCTGACATCTGCGGTTGAACAGCTACTCAAGCCCTAGTCTGAAATGCCTTATGGAGAGTATAATATGGCATTGTTTACCATTATTAAATAGCCTTATTATATTTAGTTTAGATTAGGTTTTCTATGACACTTTTCATTCATATGCATTATGATAAATGATAAAACATCACAAACACACACACACACACACACACACCAGCCCATACGTGCACGAACTGATCGCTATAAGAACAGCCCAGTCCCAACCATTGTAAAAATTATTAATAACTTGTAATAAACCAGTGTATTCACTCCCAGTAAATACTACTTCTTGCACTGTCACTATGTTGAAATGCCCTGTAGTTTGAGCTTTTCCCCATCTAGTTATTATATATCTTATTTATATCACTGATGTTATTTGTATATTATTTGTAATTCGAAACCCATTCCCCAATTATGTAACTGTATATTTTCAGCCTTCTGGCTGCCAAGCTCTTTCAATAAACCGTAAATTATTATTATTATCATTATTATTATTACACACACACACACCACAGTATGCACGTGAGTACAGAGGGCCTCACGTGACGTCAGAGATCAACTAATGGTTTGTTTATGAACGCGGGATAAATCCTGCCATAACCAGCTGTCTTCATCACCATACAGTACATATACCGACCCAAGTGTATCATCGACGTGCTGTTGGGTGTATAAACATAAAGAGAGTAAGAGTCCAGGGGATATGGTTTCAATCTTTGTTGGAAATAACTAACAACAGCAGACATGATAGAGTGCAGACATTAACGGGAAAGGTTGGAGGGTGAGGCACTAACAATGGTTGCACGAGCTCACTTTACTAAATTTTTGTTCTATACGGTAACAACTCACTGTGTCACTGTGTGAACAAAGCGAAAATAATTTAATAATAAGTTTATGAACACAGTGCTCTAAAAGGTTCGCTATTTACCCAAACAAATTGTGGAGGATTTTTCTTGTAATCAAAAAGTTTTCAATATTGGTGAACGTTTATCAGTTTGTTTAATTATTCCATGGCCTTGGTAACTAAGAGAGGGGAGCCAGTCACGTGTCTACCACAAACTGAGTTCAAGTATTTTAACACATCAGTACAACTATTTTTTTCTTCAATTGTTGCAGTCAAGTAGCTCAGCGAACCACTGTACTGAACCTGTTTCCTTTGTCTGAATGGTTTTGTTGTTGTATTCAATATATCGCCTCGTGGATGGGGCGAGGAAGAACCAAGTCTTCCTTCAGTGCTCTCGCCTCGCCTCAACATAGAATGAGACGATGAATAAATTTGAAATGGAAGTGCATACGAGAACGATTCTCCTTTCCATTTATTTTCTTCTTTTTACTTCCTTTTTCACTTCATTTCACATTTTCCCTTTATTTCCATCATATAAATTAGTACGATGTTAAGAGAAAAAGTCGACAACAGTAGGAATAATTAAATTGCACTAAGAATATAGATCACAGCAAATGCGTAATATTGCACACAGCAGTTATCATTTGTTAACTAAAAAACTGAAGATTTAAAGAGCTCACAAAAGGAAATTTGAATTGTGAAAGCCTTACCTGCTATAATTAACCAACTTGATTTTGACTACGGCTGGAAAAAGCAAAATATCAGTCACATACACAGCTCATATCCAAACTTCTTTGTACTTTTATCGTCAAATATAAACTTTGGTTGTGATGCGAGAGACAATTTGTGGAGGTCCAGGTCACCCCAGGCCCGAGTTTACATCTATTGTGTACTTGCTATACTGCACCGTCATACACTCATGTTTTATTACAGGCTACTGATCTCTATATACCTTAACTAACCAATCTCACCCAAGTCATATACTGTGGGATGATGACGCCACAGCTGTCTCCCACAATAATAAAACTAAAAGATTCCTCTTCTCTTCCTCCTTGTTCACCTCCACCCACGACGCTGAGGACTGCTGAACGAAGCTAATTAATATATTATTTGCTTTGTTATTCAGGGATGCGGCGGCTGAGTGGATGATGAGCACGGGTACGTCTAAAGGGTCACTGATTCTTACTCGAGGCACCCATTGTCCTCCCAGCTGCTAATGGGTACCTATTTTTATACTTGGTGAAGTGGAGGCGGTCTAGTTATATATAGATATAAGTGTAGTCTTCATTGCGCTGTATTCGCACTGCCCTTAAGGGCTGACCGGCCCATCAACAAACACTTCATGTTTAATAATACTTGATCATCTTTGTCTATAAATATTTTAACTCAGTAAGTATAGAAACGGGGAGTAAGACGTAAATAAACCAGTTAGTTGTAAGGAAAGCGTGTGTATGACGACAGACCTTTCCTCAGCTGGTCCATATAAGCGGAATCTAACAGTACATACATAACATTAGTAGTTTAAGTGGTGATGGTTGCCAAGGAGTAAGCAAGTCGTAGTCGTGACAACCCGCCTCGTTCCCCATTAATATAATATCGTAATCCAAAAAGATGAAGGCAGAAGACGCTGCCACGGTAACTAACAAAGCTTCTCAGGGCGAGTGGTTTGGAAGAGAAAGAAAGAGAGAGAGAGAGAGAGAGAGAGAGAGAAGAGAGAGAGAGAGAGAGAGAGAGAGAGAGAGAGAGAGAGAGAGAGAGAGAGAGAGAGAGAGAGAGACGTCACACTTTCCCCTGTGAAGAATTAGACACATACAGCCTCTCGTCAGGGTCAAGAGGTCGTGGTGAAGCATGGTGGACACCTCGTATAATGTCAGAGACCATAAATTCAGCACAGACGCGAGATAGAGAGGTTGGATGAAAAAAAAAAGGAAGGGATCGCTTGAAGATTAGCCCCTCATTTATTTCACCCAACCTAACCTAACCAGACATAATCAAACGCTACCCTAACTGATCCTAACCTACTTTATTCTAATGTAACCTAACCTAATCAACTTAACCTATCCCCCAAGAGACCCGACAAATAAAACAAGTGAACAAAAGGACGAACATTCACGAGTTATGGCTTCGAATTATCTCGTATGTTATTCAAGTACACGAAGAGACGTTTTATGGGCCGGTATATGATATAAGTCAAGAGGTCATATAAGGCCAGAGGTCATAAGGCCAGAGGTCATATAGTCAGAGGTCATATAAGCATTGAGGTCAATTATGATGGATTGTCATAATATGCCGGAAGAAGTACCAGTTAAGAGATGGTGCCAGTAGAGTCAGGCAGGGCAGAGTCAGGCAGGGCAGAGTCAGGCAGAACAGTAGAGTCACCCAGGGCAGTAGAGTCAAGCAGGGCAGTAAAGTCAGGCAGAGCAGTAGAGTCAGGCAGGGCAATAGAGTTCAGTGTCAGATAAGAAAAAGCATGTCAGACTGCAACAGCTTAGTGTCCCAAATGCTGCTTAACCAACCCCAAATCAGTTAAGCAGCCGCGCTTGAATTGACAAAATGTGCCAGCGCGGGAAAGCCGAGCCAAGGAAAACAGGGTTCTAGTTATCTGGATGGTGTACAGATCGCACTACTTTCCTTACTTTATACTATCATTTCTGTTACTATTCGTCAGTACTTTTATATACTTATATTCTTATATAAGTATCTCTTACATTTCTTTGCTTCATTTCTCGTTTCATATATAGTATTGTACTTATATTCTAACCCAAGGATCAGTCTGGGGAACCATGTCATTCTTATTACAATACTTATTCTACTTACCACGGTAGCCTGCCACCACCCAGACTTTTCTATATATATATATATATATATATATATATATATATATATATATATATATATATATATATATATATATATATATATATATATATATATATATAACAAAGAAGTACGTCTGTGTGTTTGTTTGTTGTGTGTGTCCGCACGAGAATCTCGGAAAGTACTTTACCGATCTGTAGATGGATGGTGTTATATGTAGTGATGATGATGGATGGTGTTATATGTAATGATGATGGATGATGTTATATGTAGTGATGATGGATGTCGTTATATGTAGTGATGATGGGTGGTGTTACATGTAGTGATGATGGATGGTGTTATATGTGGTGATGATAGGTGGTGTTATATGTAGTGATGATGGATGATGTTATATGTAGTGATGATGGGTGGTCTTATATGTAGTGATGATTGATGGTGTTATATGTAGTGATGATGGATAGTGTTATATGTAGCGATGATGGATGATGGATGATGTTATATGTAGTGATGATCAAGTCCGTGCTCAAAGGAACCAATTTCTTGCCGACAGAAGAGGTGAAACCTAAAACGAAAGAGCTCATCAACAGCCTTACAGAACATGATCTGCAGAATTGCTTTGAACTGTGGCAGCATCGTATGCAGCTGTGTGTCAACTCAGAAGGGAACTGCTTTGATGGATCACAGTTGATGTTTTTCTTGTATATAAAGAGAGTTACAGCATATGTCTGTTTTTTTGTGTCGGACCTCGTATATCGATCACCATATATCCAAATCTGACTATTATGCTAATAAAGAGAGAGCCGAGAAGTGATTCAGCGTGAAACTGCAGTGATACTTTATATAATGGGAGAATTTTTTTGTGGTATTCCCTGACTTATATACCAATAACAAAATGTTAAGGTATGGCTGTTATTCTAAATGCTGTGTATAATACCAGAATGTGTCTCACCTGAGTGTAGGCCACGAGAAGGCAGGTCTTACCGACAGCGCCGTCACCCACCGCCACAATCTTCAGGACCCGGCCCCTGCTACACATCTGGAACACAATATTTATTAGATGTATTGACTATTGTAAACAACGTTATAGTTAAAATTATTAATTATTGATATATTCATGTATATTTTAACATATAAACCTGGCTTTGGTGATGTCTGGTTAAGTGAATCAAACACCGTCTATTTTCTGAACTTTTCTTTTCACGTCTGTATTCACAAAAAAAATGAAATTATATAATATCTGAAAGAGGTATTAAAACTTGATTCAAACGTGAAACGAAATTTATTTTATAAGTATTTTCCTAACATCATTTATGCTTATTAAAAATGAAACAAAGTTTACGAAGGATACGCTACTGTAGAATAAGATGTATTAATACATACCTGAAATTATAAATATAATATACTTTACTGTATGCAAAGTAAATTATATTTCAAGTCGCATTTGTTCAATGATCTGAATTTGCAGGTTGTCAAGATGCTAGAGCAAAACTGAAGAATGTTTTTATTGACTTTTGTTTGAAAGTCCAAAGGAGAAAACCAGATGTTCCTCAATACAAGCAATATAAATATTTATTTTTAACGAATAGGCTACGTTACTGGTCACGGCAAAATAGCCTGACAGGCTGTTTTGGGCTATTTTACCAGTCCATTGTTTATGAAATAATTTTAGGTAGACACAATCGTTCATACAGACCGTGCAAATAAAATATAAAACAAACATATTTATTGTAAGGTCAAGAAAATAAAAAGGATAAACATGTGCAGGAGTTAACAGATGTTGACTTTCATGTAGTAGACTCAAGCAAATCCCCACATTTTCCTAATCAGCACGAACTGGATGACTTAGTCAGGGATTTATGTCTTACCAAGGAAAATGCTGAGGTTTTGACATCTCGTCTCAAAGAGTGGAATTTACTAAATCCTAGTTGCAAGATTAGTACATACAGGATAAGGTATCTAACTTTTACACTTTTCTTCAAAGTTTTGGAACTCAATTTGCTGTGTTACTGCTCTGATGTCAATGGCCTTTTTGGCCAAATAGGCATTGTGTACAATAGGGGGCAGTGAAATTTTGCTCAAAGCTGCACTCTTCAGGCATTGTTCCTTATACATATCTAAGACTCCATGCCAAATTTGAAGCTGATATGTCGAGGTTTAGTGTTTATCAACTTTTTTTTCATATCTCGTATTTCATTTAAGTTGTCTTGTTGCAGAAGAGTATGGTGCTATGTCTATATTGATTATCAGCCTTTTCTCATTTCATTTCTCAATGTTGTGTTACTGTACTGTAATGTAGGGGAGACCTGGGTAAGTTGCCGCTTGTGACCGATACTTGATTAGTGATTATGCTGGAGCTGCCATTGCTACTGCCACCTTAACTGACTATGGCATTATCACAAAGGATGACAAGAGTCAGGTTATTGGACCACATAAGCTGCGGGATGCGAGACAAAAATACCGATTTAAGAGGCAAGAAATTGAGATGGCTAGTTTAGATAATTTGACGTCACTCTATTTTGATGGTAAGAAGACCGCCACTCGTGTGATGATAAAGAATGAGAAGACCGAGAAATGGAGTTCGAAGATGATGGTGAAAGATCATTATGTCATCATGGTTGAGCCTGGCAATGAATATCTCACACATGTGACTCCCAAGACTGGACACGGAAAGCAGATTGCCAAAACTATTCACGAGTTTCTGGTGGAGAAAAATCTAACCCAGCAGCCCATTGTGTGTGTTGGTTGTGATGGAACCAATGTAAATGTAGGATCAGAAAATGGAGTCATTCATCATCTTGAAATGTTACTTGGTCACCCGCTCCATTATTTCATATGTCAGCTTCACGGAAATGAGCTGCCTTTCCGCGCAGTTTTTTATCACTATGATGGTAAACCAAGTGGTCCTGAGCATTGGCGTGGTCCCATTGGAAAGCAGATCAAGGAGTCTTTGTCTGAGCTTCCAGTTGTCGCCTTCCAGCCAGTCAGTTTCCCTGATTTCCCTGTGTTTAATGATGAAGTGGAGAAAGATCTGTCCTGGGATCAGAAATACTTGTATAGGATTTGTAAAGGAGTTATCACAGGTGTTGTTGAAGATGACTTGGCTGCTATTGAGCCAGGTCCTCCCTGTGTGTCAAGGTGGAACACCTTATGGAGTAGAATCCTCAGGCTGTATGTAGCAACATCAAGACCCAGCCATGAGTTGAAAAGAATTGTCATTACAATAATAAAGTTCAGTGCTCCAATGTGGTTTTACATCAAGATACACCCTTACGTAACACACGGCTCAAGGAACGTATTCCAGTCCCTGCTATATATGAAACACCTGAATAGTGAGGAGGAGACGATAGTGAAGAAGGCTGTCCAGAGAAATGCATACTTCGCCCACACAGATCAACTTCTTCTTGGTATGTGTGCAGATGAGGACATGACTGTTAGAGAAAAAGCTGTCTCAATGATAAGAAAAATTAGAGAGGAGAATCAGCAAAAGGAAGAATGCACTGGCAGATCTGAAGAGGAGGAGGAAGATTCTGATGCTGCTGTTGACGAGAATTTGTTAAACTATACTGATGAGGAGGGTAAAGATGGAGATGGGAATGAGGATGTGCCTCCTGTAGTCAACATGAGAAAGGTGGTGACTCCGAAACTAAAGTGGCAAGCAAAAAACTATCATTCCATGATTAACTGGAGGAATGAACTCAAGACTGAGCCTCCTTACATTGCTTCTCTGTCAAATCTACAGGTTAATGACATTCTTGAGACACCATTAGTGGTGCCCAAGTGGCCAAACAGCACTCAGGCGGTCGAGAGAGGCATAAAAGTGATGACTGAAGCTTGCACTGAAGTGACGGGATACGAATCGAGAGATGGATATATTAGGCAAAGATTATTGTCTAGGAAAATGATGCCAAGGTTCCGCACAAAAAAGAATTTCAATATGAACTTGTAATGATTTTCTATACGGTGTACCTGTAAAATAACATGTGAATTAAATCGATGTCACCCATGTAAAATTTATCATTATCCTGGAAAACATTAAATGACACCTAATTTTTGGGATACACTAAAAGTTGACAAAAAGTCGTTCGCGATGCGGTAGGGTAAGTATGCATGAAATGGCATGAAATTTTGCACAGGTGTTTGTTACAGCCATACAAACGATGCCTGAAAAGTGCAGCCTGCAACTCAAATAAAAGTGTTTTTTCCCTGCCCCCTAGAGTACAACCCTTCTGATTGGCGTCTGTTTATTGACAGCTCAACAAAAAGTCTTAAGGCTGTGTTGCTTCACAATGGGAATACACTTCCATCAATTCCGGTAGGTCATTCAGTTCACATGAAGGAAGAATATGAAAATGTAAAGATTTTGTTGGGCACGTTCAACTATACAAGAAACAATTGTGATGTATGTGGAGATTTCAAGATGATAGGTTTCCTGCTTGGACTACAAGGTGGCTATACCAAGTATTCTTGTTTTCTTTGTCTATGAGATGGTAGAGCAGATGACAAACACTGTGACAGAAAAGATTGGCATGTCAGAAGCGAATTAACTCCTGGTGCACACAATGTATGAAACAACGCTCTGATTCAAAGAGAGAAGATATTGCTGCCATCACTTCACATAAAGCTAGGGCTTGTGAAGCAGTTTATCAAAGCATTAAGCCCAGAAAGTAACGCCTTTAAACATGTCAGCTTAATGTTCCCAAAATTGTGGTGAGGCCAAAGTCAAAGACGGCATCTTCATTGAACCACAAATTAGGCAGTTGTTGGCATCTAAAGATTTGGAAGACAAAATGTCAACTGTTGAAAAAAATGCCTAGCAAGCATTTCGGCTTATAGCACATGGATTTCTGGGCAACCACAAGTTTGAGAACTACAAAGAGCTGGTGGAAAAATTAATTGTATGTTATACAGAACTTGGCTGCAGAATGTCACTGAAGTTACACTACTTGCATTCACACTTGGACTTCAGACCAAACTTGGGACACGTGAGTGAAAAGCATGGTGAACGGTTTCACCATGACATACAAACTTAGTAGGTAGTAGGTAGTAGGCAGGTACCAAACAGGGAGGTACTACCGCCTGGGAAGACATTGGAATCATAATGTATTGTCTAAAGGCAGACCCTGTTGCCAGATGCCAACATGAAAATTGTGACTAAGTTCCATGTTGCTGATCTGACTTTCTGCTTCATTTACACACAGTTTCAGGGTCTCAATTGTTTCTCTTACTATTGACAACACAACACACATATAATGTTTCTCATTTTTTTATCATTTTTTTATTTCTCTATGGTTCTTTGTTATTATTTAAAAAAAAATATTTTATTTTATTTTCAATTTTGTATTTTATATTATAATTTTAATTATTATTATTATTATTATTATTATTATTATTATTATTATTATTATTATTATTATTATTATTATTATTATTATTATTATTATTATTATTATTATTATTATTATTATTATTATTATTATTATTATTATTATTATCATTATTATTATTATTATTTATTATTATTATTATTATTATTATTATTATTATTATTATTATTATTATGATTATTATTATCATTTTTATTATTACATTTTTGCACCCCAGGCACCGATGTGGGCCAGTGACCTGTGCCCGGGTGGGCTAATCCCCGTAAAAAAAAAAAAAATATATGGAGAAGAGATATCAGAGGACATGGGATGAAGCTATGATGGGTGACTGCGTGTGGAGTTTGATTCGACATGACCCCAAGGAACACTAAAGAAAATGCTGTTCAAGTGTTCATTTTTAGCATTGTTTATTGTTCAATTTCATTTGTAACAAGTGTAGAAAAGGAATGTGTTGTTTATGCTTTCAATATAACATAAAATTGTGTTCTCGTTTCATTTATTTCATTAGCAAATGTGATGTATATCAACATTTCACCTTCTGATTTTTGGTTAAATATCATAGATGATATAAAATTAATTACTAATTTCTGATAAAACTATTGATGCTGTAAAAAAAACTAAACTCATATATGGAATCAGCGTACTCGAAAAC